CATTCTGGCGAAAGCAGATTCTGCTTATTCCGTAAGTATGGTCCTACTCTAGTTTATCATCCAGGATTTCTTGGATGCGTACAATCTCACCATTCCTCTATGGTCAGCCTCTTACGCATCAGAATTAGATGTTTCAACAGAAATTACATCACAACATTACACAATGACATGTTTAGATACCGAAGTATACCGTACACGTCAAGGCAAATGTTTGTGATCGTCTTCTGCAGTATAAAGATATTCAACAGATAAGTTGCAAATAATTCGCGATTGATCTGCAGATAAGTTGCGACTAATCCGCTGATGACAATTATATCGGTATTTTATGGAACTGTAACGCCGTCAACGTGTGGGGCCACGACAGTACTCCTTATATTATATGTTGCTGCGCTGTGATTGGATTGCAGGTAATGATTGATGATAAACAACAGTTTGTAAAATATTCCTGCCATAACAATGTAGTCCTCAAATGTACTTTTTGACATGAATACACGATTTATTATCGACTTGCTTTGTTTCTCTTGTCTTGTACAAATCTATACGTAATATGTACTTTCATATATAGGTTTGATACGTACCACAGTGACCACGGTTTTATCACAGTTGATACGTACTTGAGTATAAAAAACACATATGGAGAGACATCCTTATTAGTGTGGCCACGCACTTAACTTTAATAACAATATGAAATTAATTGCTACCACCAGACTGGCAGTTATAAACGCATTTGCATTAGACACATATACTTCATTTCCCAAGTTATGAGAATAAAAACCAACTATTAAATAGGAATCACTCAGTGTGTAACATATATCAGTGTTATTGTGAAGAACGTGTTCATTCAAACACAGTTTTCATGCACTACACTGGGTATTACAATCAGAAAGGCGGTCAATAAGACAGGGTAATTATCTAGTTTGTAATTAATGTGTTATGTTTATCAAATGTCTTCAGAGCGTCCAAGTAGCTTCCTTCACCTTGATGTACCCTTTTATAGTATATTTGGACATTTGTACAAACACACAATTTTAAAACCGATGACTTAGCTACCTGTATCAAATACATCGCTCAAGATTTGTCTTTTTTGCATTCAAATGAATAGATTACCATGAGTGACAATTAATCACATAAAATTGTACCTATGTGCACAATTCGGGATAGGGTTTAGCTGAATCCCGAAGAATTTGAAACCAGGGTCAAACAGGAAACCTAAATTGTGTGATCATGATACTAGCTATAGGACGATAATGATCATGCTTTAGATGGGAAGCCTTGTTTATTAAGCTGTATATATGGGTCAGGTAAATAATATCAATGTTTGTTTTCTCTAGATAGGATCCAAGTAGTGTTTCGAGAATGTGTGAGGTGGTGGCTGAAGCATTATTTTGTCACGCTAAAATCCGATTACATGTCTGATATGAGTATAATGCGTTATGTTTTTTTGCTGTGTGTTATCATGTTTATAGATTATATAGTTTCTATTTTATTTCTACATAGAGATGATTTGATTATATATGGTACCTTTCCTAACGTGTGCTTATATGTTGGGTTAATAATAGGCGTTAAAAGTGCATGTTCCCCAAAAAACACAAGCAAACTTTAAAAAATTAAACAAGTGCGTGTGCATTATTGGGATGCCAGTTTCTACGTCGTGTGCAGAAACCTTTCCAGATACCAATACTCTCTATTAATGCGTTCTACATGCATACATTTTATGGGGCGATGGGGTAGCCCAGTGGTTAAAGCGTTCACTGGTCACGCTGTAAACCCGGGTTCGATTCCCCACATGGGCACAACGTGTGAAGCCCATTTCTGGTGTCCCCCGCCGTAATATTGCTGAAATATTGCTAAAAACAGCGTAAAACTATACTCATTCACATACATTTACATGGGATATTGACGAATGGTTCCAGCTTGTGGACAAGAATTCTAACATCTTTTGTTGAACTTTGTATGTTCATCTGAGTCTTTTCTGTGGTATTGACGTTCATATTCATAGGGGGCCTCTACAAAGGGGGTAGCCCAGTCGTCTACGATTTGCTGTGCAGAGTTGCGACCCTGGGGCACGCCAGAAACCTATGATTGTGGGTTCTAATCCCGGTTCACTCCGATTATGTTTCTAGGTTTGTCAGCACCATACCCATTGGGCTCTTGGGTTTCACCGAAGTAGTAAACGTCTGAGACCTGCATCACTTCGGGCTTTCCTCCCACATTAAGCTGACACGCCGTGATATAACTGGAATACAAAGCGGCGTTAAACCCAACTCACTTACACACGGCCTCTACAACATGTCACGGGAAGGGAACGTCCCATTTATCAGGGTAACAGATTGTTACTTGGGAACATATCAATTAATGTGTTTCATGTAACTCCCATGGTGTAGGGGCGTATGAAAGCCATTTAGTTTTGCACACGGTAAGACGTTGATACAGTGGTTATGGTCTGTTTGCTTTCTGCTTACATATGGACAATGTAGACATATGGTAGCATCTAGGAGGATGTGTTGCAAATTGTGTGAGTGGAGGGTGCTATCGATAGGTCAGGACATGCTTACGCCTTTCTCGAATACCTAGCTAGTGTAATCACTAATTTTCAGTTGTCCACTCATATAAATCCACCGATATTTTGCCTTTTACGGCTAATGGATTCTATTTGAGCGGATTATCGAGCTATTACACTCTGGCATTTTGTATATTTGATTCTGCTTGTTTGTTTGTTCTTTTAACTCCGTACTCAGCAGTAACAATCTAGGTGGGTCAGACAATCCAGTGATTGATATCATGAGCATCATACTACGAAACTGGGATACGATAACATACATCAACCAGGTCAGTGAGCCTGACCAGCCGATCCCGTTAGTTGCCGCTTACGTAAAACATGGATTCTGCAGACCAATTCGAACCCTGATCTTCACGGAACAAAAGGAATATATGTCACAGAACCTTGTCATACTTGCAAAGCATCAAGGAAGTCGTACTAATATTCAATCAGTAATTGTTAAAGTTTAAGATTCCAAACCGCATTGAAAATCCGCACTGTTTGTTTGCATATAACGATTTCGTTCCATAGATCTATGCAGAGTGGCCATCATCCGTTTAATCTGTGGGTTTGAATATTATGAAAGTGTTTGAGAGACAGTCGAATGATGGAAACATTTAGCAACACGTTACGTCAAAAGCGATCGTTACGCTTATGTTTATGGAAGGTGTTATACGTGAGTGAGTATCACCGCGTCCTAAAACCAGTCTAGTTACGGTCTCGTGACCGCGTCGTTTCCCTCTCTCTTACTTGCCCTGCGTCGTCACCGTTCGGCAAAGTCCGACGGTCGCCGTACTCATCGTTCATTGTCAGAGAATTGGTGACCCGTATATTTTATTCTCTAGCGGTTTAGTCGCATAATTCTATCATGTATAGATTTGATATATGTTATGTCTCCAATATGTTTGCTACCTATGTTCATGTATGGAAAATGTTTTTAGCATTGATTTTCGCGGAGTAGCGGGATTATCTAGAACTGGTAGATGTTTCTCATGTATTTATGGCTATTATTGCCACCTCAATAATTGTACATATCTGGTTGTAAATCGTTAGTGGTATCGTTGTACAGCTTATGTTCAGCTCTCTATTTGGTAATTTCATCTTCCATAATGGTTTAGCAATTAGTTGGTTAGTTTGGTTTTGCCCAGGTTAGGAAACACACCTTTGTCACCTCAACATGCTATTGCATTCCCACGGCTGGGGTAAACCACCAATTGCAACATTTCTGCTGAAACATATGCCAGAAAATGTATTTCTGCAGAATATCTGGCAGAATTGTTTTTCAAAAATCTCAAGTTTTTTTGTTTCATATAATAGAAAATAATTGATCAGAAGCAGTGTCATGGAGCCGAGTTACCCAGATGCTGGTATGGTGTTGGTAAACCCAGAAACCCAGGATTCGAACCCATGATCATGGGTTATTGGCGTGCCCAAAGGGTGTAACTTTGCAACTGGGCCGTTCGTGTCTCCAAGGATGAACAAGTTCACTTTTGGTAAAGGCTGGAGTCGAATATATGTTCACATAAAAAACAACTCTTCCAGAAAACCAATAAAATCGCCCTTTTCAACACATGTTAGCATTACTCATACATTAGTATTGGTTTTAAAACCAAAACATGCACGTGTATTAAAGTTGAATGAACAAAGTACAGCTCTCTTTCATATGAACGCATGATATGTTCCATAATGATTTCTAATTATATAGGTTTAAATTTTGACCAGAACGTGCTCTTTTCAAACCTTGTCCTTTACATGTAGTTAGGCTGGCATCCCATCCTTTATGTGGCAAACGTGTGTAAGCCACGATTTTAAAAACAAATATGATCCATAACGGACGGAAGGGAAACACCCATTCCGATAACAAAGTGACTGAAGATTAAACAACTTGATTTAGGTTATAACGTAATGACTTAGGAGTAACAAGACCCATTTATATTCTAGGGCAGAACTGGCCCACATTAACATATATACTTGCCGTAAGTTGCAGCATCAACTGCTCTGCCAGTCAGTTTGATCCGCCTTGAAACTTGAATATTGTTGACTGCACGTAAGACAATATCATATTCATTTCACATAATAAGAATAAATCCTCACCAAGGAGAAGATATATTTAATCTCAGTATAAATACACACCCTCAACGGTTGATATCAAGCAATAAATACAGCTGTACATTTAATAAAATAACTTATTCAGGAATCTTACCAACAGGAATCATTTGAAAAGGGAATATTAAACGTCAATGTAAGAAAATAAGAAGTCTTTATTATTAATTCCAAAAAAATATGTTTTCATAAACATCGTTCAATGCTGCAAATTGTTAAGATTGGAAAATGGTAATTTCCTTAATACGATAAAAAAATTAAAACCTGAAACGTTTGACCTATTTCTAAGAAAGCTCTAACAAAATGAAGATATATATATGGTAGTGTTGTGACAGTAGTTAACGAGTGTTCCAGCTCACTTCCTGTAATGCATATGGCTTCTTGGGCTCTAACTCATTCAGCTCCTGATCCCACAGCTCCTACAGATCTGGTTCGTTCAGCTCATGCTACATATCTTTTTCATCCCTTTACCATGACCATTTCATAAATAAATGCTTTGTAAAGAGAGACAAAGGATAGGACAGTTGCCTACCTCAATGTAGATAGACATTGTATTAGGAGGTTGAATTAAGATTTATTCACATATAGTGTCTTTTTCATATTTAAAGTGTGTAAGTCATGGTCAGATATAATATTGTAATATATATATACGGGAAGCTGGCTACCGTTTATGCGCGATTCCCCTGTGACGTCATCAGCGTAGCAGGGTCGATATCGCCGGAAGGAACATGTCGCCCACATGGTTAGCACTGCCCGGAAATGAGGTAGAACTCTCGTTTTGGCAACTGTTTGTGACCTTCAAATGCTTTTATATAAGGTATTTACGTAGTTAACATCTGCCTGCAAACGGAAGGTCTTTTCTCGGAAGTCTCGTCCGTGAAAACTGTATCTAAACGTGCGTAATCCTTGCTTCTTCATGGCCATGACACCTACATAAATGCCTACGTATTCCGATCTACTTGGATATGTTGGAAACAGATGCCACTCTACAGAAAATTGTCTGACTTTGGAGAACATTCCAGATGCCGCCATGTCCTTCACTGCCGGCCATTCGCTTGTTTCAATGTCTATCTTCAAAACATCGATATGTCGCTGGAAAATATAAGGACGTTTCATAAAACAATGCCAATATTTCCATTCGTAACAATCTACCTGTGAATAACAATACCTGGTTACAAGTTATTTGTTTCATTACTTACAATTCTCATATGATCGACAGTGCTATCGATGTGAAACACAAACTGGATCAACTTGGTATCACGATCCGATGAGTTTAAGTATTTCACCCAGCAGAAACTCATTGTTAGCTCCATACACTGATACAATGTATACTTAATACATTACCAGGATTTCGTGATGTGTGGGGGATTCGATAGACAAACTTAGCTGCATGTCATTTGTGTGAGTGAGTATGGTTTAACGCCGCTTTTGGCAATATTCCAGCAATATTACGGCGGGGGACACCAGAAATGGGCTTGCCACATTGTATCCATGTCGGGAATCGAACCCGGGTCTTCGGCGTGACGAGCGAACGCTTTAACAACTAGGCTACCCGACCGCCACCATGTCATTTGGAACAACCTGTATTTGATAAATAAGATAGTTCACCCAAACTCATGCGCGTTATTAATGCACGGTCTCTAAAGTTCCTTCATTGAGTGACATAACGTCGCGCACACTTATATCCTTTACGGTTTTGAATTATGCAGGAAGTTCCCTGTTCTATGATATCATTCGTAGTCATTTATCAACTCACCAATAATCATTCTGAAACGTCAGCGTTTCCCTAGAATCGTTCATCGTGATTTAGAAATTACACGAACATGAAAGCCGAAGTAAACATTCCGCCATATTATAAAATCACGTCGTCACGTGTGCTGGTTATGAGACGCCTATAATATCACATATGTTTCGCACTTGCTGCGATACATACATCCCTGAATTACGCATAAATGTTATCATCAAATTACAACTTGACTTTGTCACTAATACAAATGGCCTAGATGAAATCAAGCGAAATAAGCAGTTGTGACAACGACCTCTCTGTTCGGCCAAAAACCATACACTATCTTGTAGTTTTCTTTGTCGCCAGTTGTTGTGGTTGGTAGACATAACTTTGGTGTCTTCCCACATGATGTTATGGTCTTGGATCTTCAGGATGTGTTCGGAAATGGCGGATTTCAGTTTGAGTTTGTTGACAGATGTATGACAAAGAAAACTACAAGAAGCCATGGACATCAGGAGACACCAGCCAGCCACGAACCGTGACCAGGGCACGTGTCTGCCTTGTGGTTGGGACTTATTGGTTTGATCTTTGTCGGTGTTAATTGAACAACTAATACATTATTTTCCTTATGAGTATCGTTTCTAAATGCCATTCAAAGACTTCACCAAGTCATTGCCTAACAAGACATCAACACCTGAGATTGGCAATAAGTCCGTGACACCGACAATCACTTCACCTGTAACAAACTTGCTATCATGCCAGACTTAGAGCAGAGGGTGTACCACTAACTATTGTCTCATCTCTTTGTATATATGTCTCTCTTGTCAACATATTTATGTCACCACGGTGAGAAATTACCATCTTCTTCTTCTACTAGTAAGAATTGCGAAGTCACCGGTCGAGGCGAGCAACAGAGATTGCCAAGCTCTCGTGACCCGATACACTGACACCTCGCCTGGCTGATTCCTACTGAACACATCTGACACAGTACCACTATGCACATAGCGACCACCTGGACTGATCTACCTTCCAAGCCTGTTGCAGTCTGAACGAAACCTATTGCCGACTGATTATACCTTTTCCCTTTAAAACAATTTGCGACTAAGTGATAAGAAATCCCACAATAATTGTACCTAGGCTAAGGCACCCTGGAAGTAACACCTTGGCTACCACTACCAGCAGACAAACTAGACGTGCTAACATTCTGACTTCCACTCTTGCCACTGGCTTAGGCAAACTGACCGCTACTTAGACCGATAAGACCCTGACTTTGCCCACGGCTGTCATTGCCATTAGTATGTTACATTTTCAAACAATTATGTAAAATTGGCGAGTTGGCAAAAATGACCACAAATGTATGAGAAATATCTCCGCTACCGCGCGAAAATCAAAGTTACTTAACACTTTCTACACATGAATAAGCTTGCATACATATATGAGACTACAAATATCAAATCAATACATTATACAAACATGCGATTAAACTGCTAGAAAATACATTTATGGGCAACGAAGTCTCTAACGCTAATGAATAAAAACACACCGAACAATGCCGGATTTTCCAGAACGCCCGACAGCGGTGAGTTGGAGGCGCTACGGTCACCGGACCGTGACGAGTTTGGTTTTACAACCAGGTGACAATTTCTCTGTATTCTTAATATATCGTTTATAAAATGATAAAACACACTCAGCTAATGATATATATGTACTAGGCTCAAACCTTCATATAGACATGTTGCGGCCTGGCCGTATTTACATCTCGTAGCACGGCCGGTGATCATGATCAGTTACCTCCCCTAGATCATTCATCAACATTGTTACTGTCAATTGTTTTGTTTTTTCGTGTACGTACATTTGTATGTCCAAGCATATCCATGATAGTCTTGAGGCGTCTGATCTTCCACGTTGTTGTCTTTTTGACGTATGTATCCTTAGTAGGAACATACGTATCACTATCCTTCCCTGAGAGGCCCAGGTCATGGAAGTGGACGTTCTTGCTTCTGTTGAAGGACTTTTTTCCAATGCTAAACAAATAGTTTCTCATTGAAATGTAAGACATTCTAACCCTATCACACTTTATTGAGTGATTGGTATTTGAAGGTAGTTTAGAAAGTAAGAAGAATTACTTAAAGTGATATAAAATATGTGCATTGAGTAAGTTGGGTTGTCAGCTGACTTTTGAAACCTTTGTTAGTGTATATTGTAGAACCACACTTTAAAAACTTCTGTTCCAAACGAATTAAACGTTCCCCCGATCGGGATCAAGGAGAAAATTGTGTTGTTCGCTTCTTGTTTAGTTCTTGCAGAGACATTGCTTTCAAACAAAACTTGCTGTTTCCATGTTGACATAAAAACATTTGTTTGGATTGATTATATGTTTTATATGTTGTTAACACTATACAGTCAAACCTTGTTAGTTCAATCATTTCGATTCTATAATTTAAGTCGTTTGTGAACTATGATAATACATTGACACTCTGACATGGAGGTAGCACGGTTTCACAGACTGAGTGTATTCTATTATTCTTACCTTGGGTCAAAAGAATGAACTTCACAGCCAATAGCCCCCATTGCATCATCAAACGACCAGTCATTTGAAATCCTACAAAGATTTACAGCACTTACTAGTTACCATATTACCATAAATATATATTTGGATGTCGTGCCTATGTAATGGAGCTGGTTCTTAATGAGTGAGTGAATGAGTGATTGGGTGAGTATGGTTTAACGCCGCTTTTAGCAATATTCCAGCAATATCACGTCGGGGGACACCAGAAATGGGCTTCACATATTGTTCCCATGTCGGGAATCGAACCCGGGTCTTCGGCGTGAGAAGCGAACGCTTTAACCACAAGGCTACCCGACCGCCCCTGGTTCTTAATGAAATATGTATAAGTATTGTTACGAATTATACCATAGCTACATGTATCTACTGTTTTTTTCCTGAAGAGGCTTCCTGGTGGAGTCAATATGCACTAAAAAATCAAAAACATTTTTGTATATCCATGCACAGATGAGTACATTTGTCCATATGTCTTACGGAATAAGCACGATCTGGAGTCGACTAACAAGTACTTCAGGTTGAGGCTTAGAAAATAGTTTTTATATTAATATGTTTCTACTGACCCAAAGGAGTAGACTAGACATGGTGGCTTGACCTCAAAGGTTGTGTCGTTACATACGTGCCAGTTGCCCCTCTTCTCAATCTCACTGCACATGTACTCCGGGGGTTTCTCCCAGTCCCTGTATATAGGAGGTACATTACCTCTAAATGCCACCATACACATCTGTTACATATAATACAATTCATCTTCCAATTAGAGTAAATGAGAGAGTGAGCTAATAGTTACAAACCCTATATTATATATTTATATGAACTTCAAGAAACATAATACAAGCATGTTTTATTCTAAAACATTTATACACGATTTATGCTATGGACCGATTTTCACGTGACCAGAGCTCCTGATAAGAATAACCATTCACACACGCATGACACATTTTACATATGCACTGAAAAACTGTTCACATCCACTAACCATGTTCTAAAACTGTACATGTGGAGAAATCACATTTAAGCACATCAAGGTTGTTGTTTTACATATGCAATGAACTAGACATTAAAACGAATTAACGTCAGGAATGTTCATATTCTTAAATGATGCTCACACAAAGAACACAAAACACGGGAAATATCTCTTTTCCCTAGTAGGGGAACATGGGATATCCTATTTATTACAAACCTTGTGTGTATTTGTCTACCGGAAAATCACAATTCTTTCACCATAAACATAAAACCTTGAAATGTAATGTAATCTCCCTACCTAACACGTGACGTTTCACACACACACACATACACACACACACACACACACACACACACACCCCACAGGTAGACACTTACTGTAAAGGGGAGAAAATTTTATGGGAGTGACTCTTGTAAGACAACAGTTCCGTCCAAGTGTTATGCTCACTGCAGTCAAATATCAAGCGTTATGTTCACTGCAGTGTAATATCAAGTGTTATGTTCACTGCAATGAAATTATCACTTTTCCCAACTTCAGCGAAGAAAAAATAATTCAAAGTATTTCCTACCTGTAAACAATGACTGGTAACATTGTGTAAGGTTTAGTCAATTGATACATGGATGCAGAATAACACAGCATGCACGAATGCGTTCTCTATTCGGCAAGGGACCTCGAATTGTATCCTTCTACAGAATAATATAAACGTTGATTGCCGCTAGTGTTTCGCCCTTTACCTACCACTTCAAAAGGGATGACGCTTGCCACCACTTCGTAATCTTTAAAGCGTCCTCGTCATCTTGAGGGTGGCCATCTTCCATCCGCGATGTCACTGGAAATATATGAGTAAATATAATTATTTTCACTGGTCTTCTATACCTACTCAATTAACAGGTTTTCGTCGGAAGAATATATGAAGCGCACACTCAAGCTTGTGTCCCTATGTTGTAATATATCGTGTAATATACTGATTACATGTTTTTTCCCATTTATACTTACTAGTGTACATATTAAGCAGTTACCCTTCTACCGTCAATAGACATAACAGCTAAACGATTATCTTGATTATCCTTGAAGGCTACTCTGTCAAACTGTTGGAAAGGCATTTAAACCTAATGGAAGGCTTAACTGTTTAAATGACATTTGCAAAAATAAACTCTTTTTACACGAGTCCATGCAACATGATAGATCAATAATGATATTTCTCATATACTGATGTAATACGAATTCTGTCTGTAACTGTTGTTGAACTGTGCCATATATTATTAATGAAACGACAGCTAACAAATTCAATCTGAGCAATCCAGATTATCTCAAAAGAGAAAAACGGTTTCACACAGTGCAACCTCTAAATGTTGGTAAAAATATTTTATTTTATCTATTTTACGGACAGATTGTTGTGGTATATGCATGTTGACAAGGCAGCTTAACAAGCTTAGAAAATAAGCCCAATTTTGATGTATGGAGTCAAAATTTGGGGGTTCAGAAATATTAATACTATTGAAAGATTAATTTAAATACCAGTATGAACTTTCTCGGGTTTAACCTAGCACTCCAAATGTAATGGTCTACGGTGAATGTGGAATATGCCCATTGTACATGGCCGCTCATATTAGAGTTATTAAAAACTGGTTAAAATTACCAATGATGCCAAATTCCAGATTTCCAAAGGAATGATACAGTGCATCGTTAGTCTACGATCGTAAGAGTAAATCTAATCGGGCATCGTATCTTAATTACCTCATCTGTGTATGGTTATGTTTGGACTGAACACAATGCAGATATGCCACTGCGATTTTATTATTGAGTTCTCACATACTTTAAAAAAAACCGCCCCTCCAAAAATGGTTGCCAACTCTACCCTTGTCTAATTAATTAAATCACTACTCAGAAAATAAAACAAATTTAAATAGAGAGCACTACTTGTTAAAATTATATTTAGAGAAATTCCAAGATGCAGCTCTCACGATCAAGCTACCGCATCAGGTTGACACTATGAAATCCAAAACATACTTTGTACATAATAAATACAAGTTTAACTCCCTAATATCACATGTTAGCAAACCGGCTATACGACATCTATCTCTATTTATATATCATGCAATGTTATTAAGAAATGAATCCCTCTAACGTTTTAAACCGTGTCCACATTGTCATGTATTCTGTACTATGGGTCTGTGTGGCCTTACAGTTATATATGAATAAACTGAATTGAAAATTGGGTTTGACAGATGAGAGGTATAATCACGACAAATAATAGGTATAATCATGACAAATGAGAGGTATAATCGTGTCAAATCAGATATTTAATCATGACAATTCAGAGGTATAATCATGACAAATTAGAGTTATGATCCTGACAAATGAGAGGTATTATTCTGACAAATGAGCGGTATAATCCTGACAAATGAGAGGTATGATCTAATCATGGCAAATCATCATGGTATAATCATGACAAATGAGAGGAATGATCTAAGCATGGCAAATGAGAGGTATCATCATGACAAATGAGAGGTATAGTCATGACAAATGAGCTGACTCAGGTATAATCGTGACGAATGAGAGGAATGATCTAATCATGGTAAATGAGAGGTATCATCATGACAAACGATAGGGTATAATCGTAACAAATAAGGGATATAATCGTGACAAATGAGTGAGTGAGTATGGTTTTACGCCGCTTTTAGCAATATTCCAGCAATATCACGGCGGGGGACACCAGAAATGGGCTTCACACATTGTACCCATGTCGGGAATCGAACCCGGGTCTTCGGCGTGACGAGCGAACGCTTTAACCACTAGGCTACTCCACCGCCCCCGTGACAAATGAGAGGTATAATCGTTACAAATGAGAGGTATAATCGTAACAAATGAGAGGTATAATCGTGACAAATGAGAGGTAAAATCGTGACAAAAGAGAGGTATGATCTTGACAAACGAAAGGTATAATCAAGACCCATGAGAGGTATAATCAAGACACATGAGAGGTATGATCTTGACAAATGAGATAGAGTCTTGACGAATGAGAGGTATAACCGTGACAAATGAGAGGTATCATCATGACAAATGAGAGGTATAAGCATGACAAAAGAGAGATATAATCAAGACACATGAGAGGTATAATCAAGACACATGAGAAGTATGATCTAATCATGTCAAATGAGAGGTATAATCTTGACAAATGAGAGGTAAGATCTTGACAAACGATAGGTATAATCAAGACACATGAGAGGTATGATCTTGACAAACGAGAGGTATAATCAAGATACATCAGAGGTAAGATCTTGACAAACGAGAGGTATAATCAAGACCCATGAGAGGTATAATCAAGACACAAGAGAGGTATAATCTTGATGAATGAGAGGTATGATCGTGACAAATAAGAGGTATAATCGTGACAAATGAGAGATATAGTCTTGACGAATGAGAGGTATAATCATGACAAACGAGAGGTATAATCAAGACATATGAGAGGTATAATCAAGACACATGAGAGGTATGATCTTGACAAACGAGAGGTATAATCAAGACACATGAGAGGTATAATCAAGACACATGAGATGTATGATCTTGACAAACGAGAGGCATAATCAAGACCCATGAGAGGTATAATCAAGACACATGAGAGGTATTATCTTGACGAATGAGAGGTATAACCGTTACAAATAAGAGGTATTATCGTGACAAATGAGAGATATATTGTTGACGAATGAGAGTGACAAATAAGAGCTATAATCGTGACAAATGAGAGATATAGTCTTGACGAATGAGAGGTATAATCGTGACAAATGAGAGGCATCATCATGGCAAATGAGAGGTATGATCTTGACAAACGAGAGGTATAATCAAGACCCATGAGAGGTATAATCAAGACACATGAGAGGTATTATCTTGACGAATGAGAGGTATAATCGTGACAAATAAGAGCTATAATCGTGACAAATGAGAGATATAGTCTTGACGAATGAGAGGTATAACCGTGACAAATCAGAGGTGTCATCATGTCAAATGAGAGGTATAATCATGACAAACGAGAGGTATAATCAAGACACATGAGAGGTATAATCAAGACACATGAGAGGTATAATCAAGACACATGAGAGGTATAATCAAGACACATGAGAGGTATAATCAAGACATATGAGAGGAATAATCAAGACACATGAGAATACTAATGGGTATTTGGCTATAAGCAATGTCTTGCAAAGCCAAACATTCCAAGTCATATTCCACACGCATACCCTTCCACACACACGCGCGCGCACGCACACACACACACACACACACACACATCACTCCACACATGCAAACACTTATTCTATTCAGTCTGCAACATCATCCTTATGTGTACATATTGTGTAATGTTCAGATTAGGGACAATTATTAAAACTAACATATGATACGCATCCCCCAACAACAGCCATTCATTCAACCTCAATACCTTCTACTTCAACCCTTTGTTCTTTGAATCTACCTCCCTCTAGCTGCAAACAGGTACATGCTTACTGTGCAATACTTATCCTTCCCAAAGCACATTTTCTGAGGCCATGTTTTTCTAAGTTTCGTACCCGCACCGATATCAATGACCTCAACTAATCTAGTACGTGCACTGGGTTTGTCCTGACAAAATTTGTACTTATCCCGATTAATAATTAGTATCGACACTATCTTGACGTGTATGTTATCTGTCCTATTCTGTCATTTTCATCTGCATTGTCTTTAGCGCTTTGTACAGACTTTTAAATGATTTCTCCCAAATTTCTATTTGTGCGTTCTTGCCTACTTCATAAAATCCATTTAAAAGGATATAAGGAACAAAGCCTTCTCAGAAAAAAAGATCCATATGCATGTTTCTGTAAAATAACATCACCGTTTAAACATTATTAGCAGTTACTTTTCCCAACCAATTAACAAAACGACCGACCTTCTTGTTACATACTGAAGCAAAAATTTGTAAACTTTGAAATAAAACAAGTGTGGCCTTATACAATTATAATTTTTGAAATCGTCAGCAACGAAATTTGTAGAGCTCAGAATTGAATTTGGTCTCAAGGTAACTTGTTTCACATATGCACTCGTGGGTTTTGCAAAAGTGGTAATTGTCTAAAACCTGCATCGTCACCAAGACCATCTCCCCAACTCCCAACTCCCAACTCCCAACTCTCAAACTAGCAACCAACCAACGCCCCTTGTTTCTGATTGAAAAACATTTACAATTTCCAACAAAAGATTCATGCTTCATTTTTCATTCTGTAACGTCAACCAAAATATTATTCGTTAGTCATGATGAGCCCTATTTTTAGGGACAAATAATGAATGTGGTTCGTGAAACATCACAAAAAAATTGAAAAGACGATAGTTTACGTTCCTGTCTGATATCGATCCGCTGTAAAATTGATTACTGGAGAACGTTCTTGTTTTCAGTTGGAACTATTTTTGCAACTGGCATCTTCATAAAATGTCATTAAATGGGAAACATATTCTGTGCACACATCTTGAAAAGCCAGTCGATATATTTTAAATTTTGATATGTTCTCGTTTCTTGATCTCATTGTGACAGTGTCACAGTGACAAAGTAGCCTGTCTCGTACTAGCTTAAAGTGGCATATTTGGAAGGACACAATTGGAAGGTTGGACATTTATACCTGTAATTGTTAATATAACCGTGAAATTAGGATAGCTATTCTTTCAGTAAAATTGGCAAAATCACCAGATTGTTGATTGAGTGCCGTCAGAATTTGTTTTAAATATTTCGTGTATAGTGCCGTTTTTTAGAAATCGTGTTTAATAGTAATTTTGAAAAGGGTATGTTCCCTGACCAGTGGAATCGTG